TATATATATTATTTAATCACTTATTATAAAGACTCTTAAAAGTAATAAATAATTATTAGTCATCTTTTAGAAATTAACATCCCATAAACAGAACGACTTCTACTCTAATTATTCTCAAATCAAATTTTACATTATATATCGTCCCTAATTCTATACTATTCAACGATGCATTAAATATTACAATACCATAAAATAAAATATGAAATTTTTTGATTGCACATGCCTGCTCCATATACAAAATGTTAGAGAATAATGTATGCTTCTCTTATTCTTTTCATTGTACAAAGAGGGCTGATATTTATACAATAAATTTAAGGTATAGAATAGGAAAAATGAGTAAAATAAGAACAAAAATTAACTTATGTGCAATCAAGGCTATTTACACTATATCAGGATAATTAGTGCTATTGATTCATTTCATATAATCACCTGAATAATTAATAGGAAACTCATAATTATACACTAATTATTTTATTTTATTTGGATATTATGCGTATGATCGATTCTGTATTTAATTGCTTTTGGATATCATGCATGAGATTCATCCCCCAATCCTTAACACTCCCCCTCACCTCGAGCTTGGAATGTATGTTAATAACTCTTAACTTGCTCAGTAGTATCGAGAATTGAGAAAGGTTTAGTAATTTTGTGAAAAAGTTTGTTGGCTGCTCTAAAGTGGACACGTGAGTCAACTTTATCATTTCTTTTTGAACCTTTTCTTGTATGAGATGACAATCAATCTATATGTGTTTTGTTCACTCATGGTATACAGGGTTCAAGACGATGTGAAGTGTTGTTTGGTTATCACAAAATAAATTGACAGGAAGTGAATGCATGATCCCCAAATATTGCAGAATTGTTCTTAGTCAAATAATCTCGCATCAGGTAACAACCATGAATTAATATTCAGCTTCTGCACAAGAACGTGATATTGTGTTTTGTTTCTTTATTTTTCAAGAAATTAATGAATTCCCAAGGAAGATACAATTCCAAGTAACTAATCCTCAAGTGTTACGACAACTGGCCCAATCTGCATCACAAAAGACATTTAGTTGGATTGATCTTTATGTTGAGAGAAAAATTCCTTGTTCTGCTGCCTGTTTTACATAATGTAGAACCCGATGAGCTGCTTCGAAGTGTGGCACTGGTGGCTTGTCCATAAATTGACTTAGAATATGAACTGCATATGCCAAGTCAGGACGTGTGATAGTCAAATAGATTAATCTCTCAACTAGTCTTCGATATGATGGTGGATCAGGACTTATTATCTTTATGATTTGCTAAGAGATAAGCTTTGTTCCATAGGGAAATTGGTTGGTTTTGCACCGAGGCACCCAACATCCTCTAGAATTTCAAGAGCATACTTTTGTTGTGAAAGCACAATACCCTTCTAGGATCGCACAACTTCAATACCAAGAAAATATTTCAATTGTCCGAGGTCCCTAATTTGAATTGGTTCCTCAATAATTTTTTGGCATCTTCGATTTTTTGCAAGTCGCTCCCTACAATGATGACATTATCAACATATATAAGAAGGGCGATGAATTTACCATTCTGAGATAGGACGAACAAGTAATAGTATGCCTTTGATTGCATAAAATTTGCTCACTTTAGAGTAGTGTAAAACTTGATGAACCATTGTCGTGAAGCTTGTTTGAGACCATATAATGATTTGTGGAGTTTACATACTCGAGTCTTCTCCTTTTGTCCGAGGCCATGAGGTAGTGACATATATCATCTTTGTCGAGGTCCCCGCACAAGAAAGCATTATTGACATCTAGTTGGTGGAGATGTCATTGCTTAGTTGAAGCCAACTCAAGGAGTAGGTGACCAATTACAAGCTTTGCTACACAGGCAGAGGTTTCCTGGTAATCTAGCCCTTCAATTTGATTATACCCTTTCACCACTAATCTTGCCTTGTAACGTTCAACTGTCCCATCTGCATGAAGTTTGATTTCTTATACCCATTTTCATCCAATTGAACTTTTTCTAGGCGGTAATGGTACAAAGGTCCATATCTCACTGGTGTTGAGTGCGGCAAGTTCTTCTCGCATCACAACATGCCACTTTGGATCACGAGATGCTTCTACAAAGGTGTTTGACTCCATTTTCAATTAAAATAGCGATGATAAAAGTACGATGTTTAGGTGACAATTTAGCATATGAAAAGAAGTTGCTTAATTTATAGAAGGTATATGTAGCTTTGGTCAACACAGAGTTAAATGTTGAGAAGTGTCGTGAGAGAGGAGAAATACCAACATGATACTAACGCAATTGGTTAGGCGTTTTTTTGTTTTCATTGGTTGTGGTGATGATATTTGTTGGTCTAGAGTTGCAGGTTATTCTAAGGATAAATTTAGTGAGAGTGGATTTCATAGGCGAACAATTACAAGCTTTTCTACAGAAGCAAAGGTTTCGTGGTAATCTAGCCCTTCAATTTAGTTATACCCTTTTGCCACTAATCTGGCCTTGTAACGTTCAACTGTCTCATCTGCATGAAGTTTGATTTTTAATACCCATTTGCATCCAATTGGCCTTTTTTCAGGCAATAATGGTACAAGGGTCCTTATGTCACTGGCGTTGAGTGCGACAAGTTCTTCTCGCATAACAACCTGCCACTTTGTATCACGAGATGCTTCTACAAAGGTTTTTTACTCCATTTTCAATTAGGCGTTTGACTCCATTTTCAATTAAAAGAGCGGTGATAAAAATACGATGTTTAGGTGACAATCTAGCATATAACAAGATGTTGGTTAATGTATAGAATGTATATGTAGCTTTGGTCAACACAGAGTTAGATGTTGAGGGGTGTCGTGAGGGAAGTGAAATACCAAGAAATACCAACTTGATACTCACGCAATTGGCTAGGCCTCTATTTGTTTTCATTGGTTGTGGTGATGGTATTTGTTGGTCTAGAGTTGCAAGTTATTTTGGGGATAAATTTGGAATGAGTGAAGGTGAAGGAGTCTCTTGAGAGGGGATTTCATTGTTTTGAGAAGATGGAATGTCTTCTTAAGGTAATTCATCGAAAGAAGGCATGTCTGAAGGCATGTTAGTGTGGGTGGTGAAGTGAGGAATTGAACCATAATTTGTAGTGAAAGAAGGGGAAGGAAAAGTGTTTTCATGAAAAAGAACATCTCGTGATACAAAAACTTTCTTAGTTGAAAGGTCAATGATTCTATAGCCCTTTTGAGCACATGGATAACCTAATAAAAAACATCGACCGACTTTGGGATCAAACTTGGTTGGTTGCTAATGATGTGTTGAAGTAAAACAAAGACACCCAAACAAGCACAAATGATCATATGTGGGTTGTGCTTGGAAGAACATTTCGAAAAGAGTCTTTCCTTATAGAAGGGGTGTTGGTGTTTAGTTAATTTGGTAGGTGGCTCAACCTTTGTTGAGTAGGTGACGAAGTTTTCTTTCAACTACGTTATCTGTTATGGAGTGAAGATAGAACTGGATTGATGAATGATGTCTTTTTCGAGATAAAGATTTCTTCAAGAGCTTTTTTTTATATATTAATATAAATACATTAACAATATATTAAAATTCAATATTTAGATCCGTCAAAAATTGGCTAATAGTAATCTTTTTAATTAATTAGATATTACTTTATTTATGTACGTTTCGTTGGAAAGATCACCAAGTCAGTCAATGCAGTAAATCCAAGAAGGTAACACCTTCCTTATTAATGCAGTAAGTCGAGTCAATTATGTTGGTTATGGCTTTTGTCTCTTTAACACAAATAATTGCAAGAGAAAATAACATATGTACCACACAATTCTTATAAATTTATATATCTAACACTTACAAATTGATATTTACATTTAAAACACTTTGGTGCTATATATTTATGCATAAAAATATGCATTTGACGATTTTTAAGTAGTCAGCAAGAATGATATCTTTGATGTGATGATAAAGATTTGAGTGTTATGAATGTAAATATTAAAGTTTTGGTGTTAGATATCAAAATACATAAAGATTATGAACTGTGTAGCTATGCATCTTTATAGTCTGAAGCACCTCTCATTTGCATCACTGTACTCATCACATTAATTGTAAAAAAAGTAACAACTCAAATTGTTTCTTACCCCATTGAATGTTCCCTCTTCCTAGTTTTAAAAATTGATATATTGTTGGATTGAAGAGGTTCTATTTATCCACAAAATATCAATTAGTATCATTTAATCATAACAAATATTGATTATATCATATTAAATGTGTTCTCGTGTGTGTGTATATATATAATATATGTGTGTGTGCGCGTGCAACAGGTGGTCTGTTTCGGGTTCAAATTCATCTTGATTGAATTAGCACATATGACGGTGGACATGCACATATTGCCCACGGTGAACATGCACATATTGCCGTCCATCTTTCTTAAAAAAGTTATATTTGTGTGTATAAGAACAAAATGATAATGTCAATTAGTAACTAACATCCTTGTCTCCTCACTTTGCACGTTTCCTTTTGCTCACTCGATTTCTGAAAGTGAAATCATTACCATGTATTTGTTATAATCCATAGATATGAGAGGCTATAAGGATGCATAATGTCAAGGTTTCTATTGTAAGGTAATGATTACACTTCATAAATAACCACAAAATCATTCTTAAAAGAATCAAATCTATTTTTTATTTATAAATTAATTTATTTTTAAAAATTTTCAATAAATAAAAAAAAAAGTTTTGAATAGTTTTTAAAATAAGTTAAAAAATGTAAATTTAACTTTTTTTCAAAAGTAACAATTAAATGTAATTGGTATTACAAGTTTATTTTATTTTGAGAAAATCAGAGCGGAGCTTTTAAGCAGATGTCACACTTAGGGTTTGTTTGGGGCAGCTTGTGCATTTCAGAATAAGCGGTGCTGCCCGCAGGTCGACCGCGGTCTTCGGCCTGCTTTTAGTGTAAAAAACCCAAACACGACAGACAACATTTTCAAAAAAGCTCAAACCTAATGGTTATGCGGCGTTTGAAAAAACACAGCCGCACTTATAATATGCCCCAAACGGGTCTTAAGTGTGACAATGCAAAAATGTAATTTTACAGAGCCCGAGTGTGGTGAGACAATGCACTGCTGCCTTAAACACGTAGAAAATTTATCATTCCCTTCCGATCACAAATTATTATATATTTTTTAATCAAATTATTAATATCAATAAAAAATATTTTATCAATTAGGTATGAAGGAGTGTTTTGTGTTCTTGTTGGGATTTTTATGGCAGGGGGGTGGCTATTGCAAAAAATATTTTTATTAAAACTATTTAAATCTAACACTTATAATTTGATATTTACATTTAAAACGCTTTTGGTGCTATATATTTATGCATAAAAATATGCATTTGAGGATTTTTAAGCAAGAATGATAATTTTGATGTGATGTTAAAGATTTGAGTGTCATGAATGTAAATATTAAAGTTTAAGTCTTACATATGTAAATATATTGAAATATATGCAAAAGCCCATGAACTGTGTGGCGTTTATGTTAATAATAAGAATTGTGCGATGTGCATGGAAATGTCCCTTTTTTTAATAATACTGATAGAGACTTATTTTAATTAACTTAAAATAAGATTAAATTAATTTGATTTTAGAATATTGAGTGATTACATCTTTTCAAATCAAAAAATAAAAATCAATCAAAATTTCTCAACCAAATCCAAATCAAAA